ATCGAGAATGCGCGATCGACTACGGCAACCTTGCGCAAATTCAAGGCAAAGTATGGGCAAAGTGTGACCTTAACTTTGACCACAATCACCAAGTCAGTTTTTGAGGGGAGGGCTTTTTTACCCGTAAATCCGTCGGTCTGTCGGTCCGTCGATAATTTAAAATTAACTCAATTTATTAATATTATATATGAATCCGATGTAGAATTTAACGTTGAGTCTGAATTTGAAATTTAAAAAATTTTATCTTAAATATTTTTCGAGTTATTCGACTTCGAAGTTTCGACCGACGGACCGGTTTTTTGTCAAAAGTTTACGGCATTTGATTGTGTGCGAGGGTGGTCACTTTGAGAACCTCATCCATTAGTTCCACTAAAACTATCATTATTTCNTTTTGTCAAAAGTTTACGGCATTTGATAGTGTGCGAGGGTGGTCACTTTGAGAACCTCATCCATTAGTTCCACTAAAACTATCATTATTTCCTAATAAAACAAACTTTACTTGAACAAAATATCTCAACTCTAAGTATTTTTAAAAAATTAATTAAAACTCTAGCTACTTATGGACAACTCTGTATAAGTACTGTACATATTTTAAATAATAAAGGTCACAACAAAATTACTTAAAAATAGTTAATAAACAAAGGCTTTGACTGTATTTCACAATAAATTTATTAACTTTTTTTTGGCTAAAAATCAAAAAACAATTTCAATTAAAATTTAAAAAAATTAATTTCAATTCATATTCACTTTAAATTACTACTGATTTAAACGTCATTTAATAAATCATTTTAACATGTATTTTAAACATATGTATAGAAAAAAACTGATATTTTTGCTGTCATTTTAAATAATCAATTAATTAAATAATTAAAATCCATAACTAATTAACTTATTATTAATAATTAATATTATTTTCAATTACAATGCAATTAATATCTAACTATTGTGGCGGCGATTAAGACTTCTTCGGCGGTTTCGGTGTCTCTCTGAACAGTATTTGACGCGTTTTGATATTCGACCACAAGTGCCGATTCCAGTACCACAACAGTGCCAACATTGGTAACATTATTAGCAGCACCTGGTCACATAATTATAATTAGTTATAATAATTAGTTATTAGTTAAAAAACAAATTAAAAACTTTACAAACACTAACATTATTAAAAACACTGCAAATATAAAAACATATATTAAAAAATATATTATATTAAAAACACTAATCATAGGCATTAGAAACACTCCCTTTATGGGAGAGGGCAGGGGGCAGACACTCACACTTACACTACAGGTGCAACCCTTTAGGCTGGTATAAGGGGTGGGGGTAGGGGTAAGGGTCAAAACAAAACTCATTAAAAACCACTAAAACAATGACAACACAAAACCACTAAACACAACACATAATCACAAATGCATACCACTGCCGGCCAATACAGGTTCAGATGCTTCGGGACAACAGACGGGGCAATCAGTCTCAGTCCCTGCACACCCACCCCACCCATCGTGTAGTACCACTACTCACATCAATTGTGGCCTTTTTGCGTTTATCGTACTCGGGCTGCGCCGCCCACGACAGGAAAGTGACCACATCTTTGGCCAACTGGCTCTGTGTGGCGGGCGTGCCGTCTGAGTACTCAATCATATCGCTGAACAACGCCTGTGCCATACCTATGGCGCCCGAACCGCTCACAAAGTATGGGTTAAAGTGCATGCCGTCGGCCAACACTACACCCGCTGGCGCTTCCATATAGCCGGTCAACAGCGAGAATATGTAGTCCTAGAAGAGTTAGTCCGCATATCGGGAGTAGTCGGTGATCATCGTTGTCGTTGTCGGCACCGAGTGTTTAGAATCAAAATTTAATTAATAATATGACAAACAATTAACTAATAGTAAAAATAAAGGGCGTTTTCAGGGGGGAGTCGAGGGTATACTAGTAGTACTCCCGTAAGGGGTCTATTGATAGGACCCGTACGAGAGATCTGACGAGAGAGTGAAACACACATTCACTGCATCCATGAGTGTTGGGGGCGGTGTGGGAAGGGGTGGTGGAGAAATTACATACCTCGCCTCGGTCTCGGGCGAGCACAATAACGCTGAGATCGGGCGGAAGGGCGCCGTTGTTGGCCGCGCGGGCGGCCTCTTCGTTGGGATGGGGCGACGGGAAGCGGTCGAACAGTTTGCCCGCCCGTAGAAACATCTTCCCCTTGTCGTCCGGGCCGTCCAGCACTTGGCTCTGCGGTTGCGGTTAATAAAACATACATTAGTTATATCAATACATGTTGAGGTGGAGGAGGGGGTAGTGGTGCTAATCATTACCACCGCCACAGCCGCCACACACACCAGCACCGGGTGCTATACACACCTCTGAGGCCTCCTGCTTGGCCTCGGCCTCCGTATGGGACACACCCACCAGTTCCCGATAGGACACGTACTTCATGCCGTGACAGGCGGCGCACACCTGTTTGTACACCTCATACCCGCGGCGAATACTGTTTGTAATTAAATTCAACATAAGTTAACATTAGTTAATAAATTAATAGTTAATGAAAACTGGCGGTGAGTTTGGTCCGTAGGCTTTTGGCGGTGAACACAGAGGTCAAGGGCGGCGGGGTTAAGTGCGGTACAACGCCGGGTCCGGAGGGCTAACCCTACCCTCTATAGCCAACTATAGCCAGTGGTAAACCACAAACATC